ATAATTTTTGTTGAGTTGAGCATAATTAAATACTAAAACTGCCCATGTTACATTCTTGCACAAAGTATTGAGCCATGTGAGAGCAAGGCCTTGGCATTCTTTTATATTATACATCTGACAGTGCAGAGCAATCAACTTCCGCTGTTCCCCGGCAAACACTCCAGCTGTACTGTCTTCATGCATACTTTGCAGTATCCTCGTAATAACCTCATATTATTCATGTCATTAACTTTAATGTCAGTTCTTGAACTTCATGGAGGTGTCAAAGGCAATAGAACATTTTCAATATTTATTGGCAAATTAAATTAAAAGCAGGTTCATCCATCTCTGAGTAATTACTTGTTCAGCAATAATAAATGTGTAACTACTGCACAGGGGCCAGTATATTTTCTGAATTGCCGGTAGTATAGTCTCTGCAATAAATTTTCTTGGTGTCCATTGCGGAGAAGTCAGATTTACAAAGAGATAGTAAAAACTGATGAATAACCTAGCTTGCAGACTTACTGGAGGTTTGTTTTTGAAAAAGATATAAATGGCAAAAATGAAGTGGTAGCAAGAAAAATTACTTAACACTTAATCAAGTTTTTATTGTCGTTTAGAAATTGAAATTTTGTGGCCTGTTGATAGTCAGAGTTGTCCCAGGAAATAAACTGAATGATAGTTTTTTCTGTCAAATTTTGTATGTAGTTTCTAATTGGCTTGATCTGGTTATATAAGAAACAGATTTTGTTTGTGCTTGTACCATTATTTTGCATTTCAGAAAACCTCTATTGCCTTGGTGTCCTTCAATAAATTCCCCATGTTATTTCTACACACTATGGCAAATATGGCCTTGAAATTGTCCTCTCAACTCTGAAGTTTGTGTATATGGTTGAAATGACATTTTGAATACAATCATGACTTGCATCAGTAACCCATCGTTTGACTGCAATTGGCCAAGGAATGTAAGAAACTATACAAGACTGTCACAAGAATACAGCATGGTATGTAAAAAGACAGTACAATGATTGCATTGACAAATGTGCAGTGTTCTGAAAATAACATTGTACCAGAGTATTTTAGTGGACGACCCAAAATGCCGGCTTCATGCTAGTTTGTGTACAGTGACTTGATTGTATTTCCATCTGGACCACATCCACTGCTGGCGATGTAGTTTACATTGCATGGACATCTTCAAATAAATTTCTCTCATCATTGGACCCATTCAAGTGGTCAGTTTATTTCTGCAAACCCATATTTGTTTACTGATTGTAAACTACTTATGGAGATTGTCAATCTTGTAAGTTGATCTATTGAAGATTTGGTTGATTTGAATTATTGGGTATGCTTTCAACGTTGCAGGACAGATATACAAATATTAAAACTGGACTCTTATATCATTTCTTGAGCTTTCATATTATATTGGAACTTGATCTCAACATGCACAAATTGTGGTAATTTTTCCCTTAATATACCTTGACCTTCCATCTTTCATGTTATGGGCAAGGTAAAAATGATGAATGAACTTTAATGAGCAACTGACAAAAGATTCATTTTTACTTTGCCAGTACCATCAAAAATGACAAAAATATTCACCAAAATTAGAGAATTGAAGATATCAACATGAAATGAACAAACCTAAGAGAGGTCTACCCAAGGTACATATACAAGAAGAAGTCGAAAAAGTAAAACATTGACACGGACGACGACAACGGACAATCACTCATATGATAAGCTCCGCTCGACAAAGTCGACAGCGGAGCTAAAAAGCGAAATGTTGCATCCACATTTTGAAAAGAAAATTGTACTAAAATATATGTATTCTGTATTTGACAAACAGTTCATTCGACAAATGAAAATTCACAGGAATTTGTTTTCAGCTATTAGAACAGAATGATAGAGCTTTTATAATACTAATTTATAAACATACTTCAAAAACAAAGATTGCAGTGTTTGAAGATGTAGATTCTCAGGAGGCACCAGTACTGTTGACTTCTCCCTCCACTGGACACCAACTAACGATTTAAGTTGATTTGCATACAAAGCAGAGCTTGCAACATGATAGCTATTCATATAGGGTGTTTTTTTTTTACTTTTCATATAATACAGTAGTCACACACAATGAATATAATAATGCAGTTCATATTTGTCTCAGTGAATCATTAATTTTTGACATACACCTGTACAAAATACTTGGACAAAAGCCAGCTATAATTTTCTGTTATCTTGCATGTTTTATGAATCTATTCACTTCTAAATGCAACACTTTTTTTCTGCGATAAGACATTTGTTTTTATACTAAAATATCCGAATTACTTTGAATAAAGATGGAAATTATGTCTGTTAAAATAATAAAACAAATTAGGCACCAATGTTTTTGTAAGATATTTACATCTATCAAGGACATTCGGTAGACTGATTCCCCACTGTTGGTTCAACCCCAAAACTTTTTTGTATTCAAAATTAATTATGACAATGCATATTTATATTGAAACAAACTATGATAAAGGGAATAATATTATATAACATAGGGCAAGGTCACCAGAGTTCAACTATGTTTTTTTTTAATTAGTGAAATGAATTTAACCACTTAAAGTGCCTGTGAAATGGCTGCTATTTTCATGCCTAAAATTATCCATTGATACATAAATATTATTAATTTTTATGTTTCTAAGCATGAATTATTTTTTTTAAGTGCAAAAATGTGTTTTAAACTAAGTCTACGGCAACTTTATTTTTGTGTATTTTAAAACGAGGCTCCTCATTAGCTTCTCATTTGCATACAGAAATTCCCCTTGTGACGTCAGAAGGGGAAGTCGCATGGCAGGCTTGCATTGCCAATACGTGTAAATAAGGCAAATTTCTTGTACAGTTTTCTCATCTTTGACTAAATTGTCACTTATGTACTTGTTCGTCGAGGAAGAATGAACCATAATGAACACATAGTATCAATTTTTGTTGCATGGGGTTGAGTTAGATGCGAAATATGTTCGTTCTGGTGTAGCTGGTCATCGTGATCGTCACCAACACCGGCGCACGTTTGTACACTGTCGCTGGACAAAATAGGATTTGACGTCGGAATTATCTCATTATTTAGCAGGTTACTAGGCACGTCACTACACTGTTTTATTTCATCGATCGTCTGAGTAAAACTTTCAAAATTAAAATAAAAGAGAACATATTTTGACATTCTAAACATTAGACTATAGTGATCATTATAAAATAATTAAAAAAATAAAAATCGGCAAACGACAAATCACAGTTACTAAATAAATGACAGCAGCGTGGAAATAAATTGACATTTTGTTGAAATAGGTGAACGCGTCGGGTCACGACAAGGGCAAGTGCGTTAAAAGCGGCGTTTAATTGGATAACAAAAATAATCAAGATCGACACACATACAGATAAATTCAGAGTGGATTCGAGTTAGCGTGATCCATGGCGTGATTGTCATAATTATATCATATTAAAACTTTATTTGGTGGAAACACATTGACCAAGCCCAGATTCTTATTTCATAAATTATTACGCAGATCAAGCTGCAAGCATGGAGGTAAAAAAAGAACAGAGGTGTGAATTCAACATTCAACACCAATCACCAAACTTTTAGCCTTCGAAAATGAAAACAATTAGCAGTGTGTAAGGGCTGTGTAATTTCCTGTTTGTCCGTCGCTTCATTTTCGTGTCACTGTCAAAATTATTGCTACCTTTTACTTAACAGGGACTAATTGGTTTCTATAAAACGATATTCAGGATCGCAAAAATGTCAACTCATTTGAAACACTTGCTGGGCGTCTCAATCCGGAAACAATCGACCGTTTCAGGATAGGTGGGTGTGGCTACAACACGAGTAATATCCCAAATTTACCTGGATACGAGTAATCATTTTCAGCAAAAAAATCAATAACTGCCCATTTCAGTGGGACACAGATCTAAAATGGGAAACGTGCGGGTGGGCATTGCACAGGCACTTTAAGCCCACCAGCAAGCATGTATACTAGGCAAACCAGCATCCATTAGGTAAAGTAAAATTCTTAGTTTACATGACAACCCTCAGTATCATGACCAGCACTAGAGGGCGCTACCAGATGGCATTGGTGGGTGCTACCAGACATCATCATTGGTGGCTGCTAGCAGACGACATCGGCATTGGTGGGTGCTACCAGAGGACATCGGCATTGATGTGTGCTACCAGACGACATCAGCATTGGTGGGTGCTACCAGACGATATCGGCATTGGTGGGTGCTACCAAATGACATCGGCATTGGTGGGTGCTACCAGACTACATCAGCATTGGTGGGTGCTACCAGACGACATTGGCATTGGTGGGTGCTACCTGATGACATTGGCATTGGTGGGTGCTACCAGACGACATCAGCATTAATGGGTGCTACTAGCGACATTGGCATTGGTGGGTGCTACCAGATGACATCGGCATTGGTGGGTGCTACCAGACCACATCAGCATTGGTGGGTGCTACCAGACGACATTGGCATTGGTGGGTGCTACCAGACTACATCAGCATTAATGGGTGCTACTAGCGACATTGGCATTGATGGGTGCTACCAGACGACATTAGCATTGGTGGGTGCTACCAGATGACATCGGCATTGGTGGGTGCTACCAGACGACATCAGCATTAGTGGCTGCTACTAGAGTACATCGGCATTGGTGGCTGCTACCAGACGACATTGGCATTGGTGGGTGCTACCAGACGACATCGGCATTGGTGGGTGCTACCAGACGACATCGGCATTGGTGGCTGCTACCAAATGACATCAGCATTGGTGGGTGCTACCAGACGACATCGGCATTGGTGGCTGCTACCAAATGACATCGGCATTGGTGGGTGCTACCAGACGACATCGGCATTGGTGGCTGCTACCAAATGACATCGGCATTGGTGGGTGCTACCAGACGACATCGGCATTGGTGGGTGCTACCAGACGACATCGGCATTGGTGGGTGCTACCAGACGACATCGGCATTGGTGGCTGCTAAACATGCTGCAATATGACCATCAATATCTACAGAACTCATTCTGTGAAAACAATAACAGATAATGTTAGTGTTAAGGTCATTCACAGGCCTATAAAATAACCAATGTACAACATTTTTTTCAAAAGAGTTGCACAATTATTTAAACAAATTATCACCTTTTTTCGTGAAATATGTTAGAAGAAACTGGCTGAAAAAAGGGCATTTTGTAGCAATTCCCATAAAGCCTGACGAAAAGGTTTCTGGACCACCAAAACTCACCTTAACTTGCAAACTATCATGTAATACTGTGAAATACTATTTTTGCTTGGAATTAATGAATGAATGATTCAGTCAAAATAAATTCCAGCTAAAATACCTTTTTTCCTATATTTTACATTCAACTTATAAATTCAATACAAAACACCCAAAAAGTCTTTTCAGCGAAAATTAATTTCAGCTAAAATAAAGTATTTTACACAATATACTTTACTCACAATCCATCACACAATTTACCATCTATCATACAATACTCCCTATATTACAGCAATTCCAGGCACTGATTTGATGCTGAAGTAGTGCTAGATGTTGATAACTTACTACAATAGGTTACACACTTTGTTTTCAAATTTACAGAAGTCTGCAATTTGAAGCGCACCGGAAGAAAGCCCCGCCCATAAAAGTGGTGGTACATTAGTTTTGAATTTCTCCTCCAATAAATGATCAAGGCTCTCAACTTAGTTTCGTACTTCAATTTGCGTCACATGTTATTTCGGTGAGAGGGGCGCATAAAGTGGTGGCACTGTAAAGAACGACTGATTATGACAGACTTATTGATCAAAGTGCATTATTCCTACTATGGTAATATCTGTATCACGCTGATATATATAACTGAAAGCTGCTTGCATCCTATGAAGACTTCATCCAGTATATCAATAATGAAATTGAATACATGAAGTAGAATGGATGTTATTCGATTAATAGTTCTCGACGATGAGAACCAAAAGGTTGATGTGCCACCAAATAATCGCGTTCAAATGCTTATCACTGGCATCACACGATCACACGTCCGGGGAAAGTTGCCGTCGTACACAAGTAATTTTTGTTGAATTTCCCGTCAGTAAATGCGCTGTCGCAATGTTTTATAATATTCGACATAGTCTATAATGTTGTCAGTTTTACTGGCAGGATACTCTTGGTGACCCCGTACATCGTGGCCATTTCACAATGTTATCTCATCCTTACAATTAATTAACTAAAATATTAGTATATTATTCTTATTTTTGACTCGTTGTTTACATAACTCTGTACTATGGTATTGGTAATATATGAATTGGGTGCCATCATCATAGGATGGTACTTGATGGCCAACTAACCTAATTGAATGTGTATTTTGCATGAATTTTTAAAATGAAATGAATTTGCGTGGTTTTACCAACATAGTAAACCAAATTTAGAATACACGATACAACCATGAGAAATAAATGACGGGACTTTGGTGTTGCACAGAAATAAAAGAGATGCCCACAGTTGGACAACCAATCATTTTATTATTGGTCACGATGAACCACAGATCATCTGCACATCCTTTGTAAACACCACATACACGATGTGCCGCCATCCAATGGCGGGATGAGCGGCTTCCTTTGTGCACAATCGCATCAAATTCATGAGAGAAACACAACGCACTTGCTAAGCCAGACCGTCTGGTGGCGCCCTACTATTTCATCAATAACCAAATATACTATTATCCTGTTCCCGAATTGGACATTTGTTTATTTGGAGAAATTTTCAATTTTACACTAGATCCTTAGTAATTAATGATTCCACGTATTTATTTGGCCGTTATTTGACAGACGTAAAGTGCCATAATGTTAATTCGCAGAAATTTAAACACACTGATACTGATAATGATAATGAATTAAAAATTTGCCAAAAAATACTGAATTTGCTATGTCATGGAAATAATTGAAATCAAAATATTTGGCAATATATTAAGTTTTGCGTCGCATGCACACGATTGAAATATCATATAAAATAGGCCTAATATACTAATGATGTATTTATTTAATTCTGGAATGGCCATGATGTACCACGGATCGACCCCCTCCTCGGTGGTAACAAACCGTTTGAGATATTATAAGCTGTCTGATTTGAAACACATTTCGATCTCCAATCTCAGCAAATGACAGTCCACCAAAATACAAATCGAACTCTTGTTCTCACTTCAACTGTTTTTTGACTCCTTGCTTCTCCATCGTGGTGCTTAAGGTAGCGAGACTATTATTTGTGTTGAAAATTCCGATTTTCACATTTATTTATTAATTGATGAAATGCACTATAAATTTTCATCTGACAAACTCAACGTAACCTAGAATGTCATGTAAGTTGGTTAAAATGTAGATTTTCTGAAGGGAAAGCAAGGCAGCTTCAGTAGTGTTTTCTAAAATCAACACAGGTTTAATTTGTGTGCCTATAAGTTTCAAAGATTAACTCAAGACAAAGCAACGTTAGGATGTGTTATCAGTAGCTATCTGACACACAATGAGTGTTTCCAAACATTTGAGTGGTTTGTGTCCGCCCCTGTTTATTTCACAGATTAGTCATTTGCATATGAATGTGTCAGACACAAGGTCACACAGTCACTGAAAAAAATCATTGATTTTAGTGTTTTCATCTGCCGTTTTATCGAACTATAGCTATCCCATTCCTTTAATTTTTTTGGTTTCCAATAGCCTTACACATTTGGATGTCCCTACACATGTTAAAACAGACCTTGATGTAAAAAAAATCGCTTGTGCAGATAAACAAGCTTGAAAATCTTTGCTGTGACTTCATCGACATTTTCTAGGAGTTTATGTTTTTCAAAATACAAGGTCTTTAACAAAAAATAACGTATACTTATTGTCGTTGGATTAACACCAAATTTTCACAGCTTTAAGGTGACAATGAGAGGAACTTGAATGTGTCCAGACAAACTATTTCATGGATTATTTACCAATGTGTTGTGGTTTGAGTTGCGGTCAATGCGACTAAAACAGAAATTATATTTCAGGACACTATTTTTCAAAATGCGTTGCTTGAATAAAACTGATCAGACACATTCAATTTACCAGACTATTGAACAACTAGGAAAAACGAAAACAAAACTTATTATCACCAGCATAAATGCGTAATTATTTTTTTTACAAAAAAAGTAATTTTTCACTTTTGATTAAGTAACTCACCGTAGAATGCAGTTACGGGCATGACAAACACACCTTTGAAAAGCTTGAAGTCTGGCGATTCCAAAAATATATACTTTCCTGGGTCTATTTGTAGTCGTTTGCTCCCAATTAGAAGATGAAAAAAAGTATGCAAATAATAGTCCCGCTACCTTAAGTTGGGGGTCAGACAAATCTGATAAAAATATTAAAAGTATTGCACAAGTTCAGGACATCAATATCTAAACTATTTAGGTATGTGAGTATGTGAACAAGTGACCACTGGGAGAACAGAAAACCCAAAACTAAGAACTTAGAGACTTAATCTGACATCAGATTAGGGTTGGAGAACACCCGATAGTTAAAACTGACATGTTTCATTCGGGGTTGATTACTTTTTAGATTAGTTGCAGATTGATTAAAGTTAGTATTTTGGAGAGAGTGAATGATGACAGTCAGACAAGACAGTCACTTACCTCAAACCATCCACTGCCTAACATACTACGAAAGTATTCCAACCTTGCCACCAACACACATTTATGACACTGTAAAGCTTCACCATCATCAGTCTGTATGCTAACATCACACAGGTGTCTGTGCTTATTTCTTTCAAATCTCAATTTTTTATTTGGTTTCTTTATACCATATATGACACCTTTAGAGCACTTGGCACTGTCAAGTCTGAGAAAAATAAAAAAACATGCACCACAGTGAGTTCAAGGATTCCAGGTGGCATATACATTTACAATGCAAGTAAAACAAGCCTTATATCATACAGGCATTTCAATTTCCCGAATAAGTCGATCCAATTGGTCGAGAGCACATATTTAATTATGCAAGCCGTGGTAAAATACACTGTATGACCATGGTTTTTCATGTTTAGATGTAGGCCCCCAAACGTGAATAGCACACAGAAGGGATAAATTCAGCAAAAATCATTCTTTCGCATTACAAGCATAGAATGTAAACATTGTTTACACGCATTTCCACCAGGTTTTACTCAGGCACCCTCAGGAGTTGGAATCAACATTTACATGCATCTTTTGCTTTTATTTTTGTGATACAATGAAAACAACATTGTTCCAAACAAATAGTTTTGCGGTTTTTATGGATTTTCACTAAAACAATTTAAATTTATCATAGCAGTCCAAGCCTTACCTATTAGCAAGTCCTGGAACTCCAAACTTCTTAGCTAAACTTTGCAAGTTCTTAACTGGGCCACTGATAACCTTTTTATCATTCTCATCTTCTTCATTCAAAGACTTATTCCTCCTCTTTCCAGACTTCTTATTCTCCTTCCGTGTTTTCTTCTTCTGTCCCTTGTGAATCTCAAAAGCAGATTCCCTGCCATCAATATCGCATATGTCTAACTCTTCAAAATCAGCATCCAGATCAAAATCAATTCCTGAATCTACGGTTTCCCATCCAGATTTCTTGCTAGATTTGATCTTATATCCTGGATTAAGCATTTCACAATGTTCAGTGTATATATACTGCACTAGCATCTGAAACATCTCATAGTTAGTCTTCTCCACCTCAATCACTTGCACAGAACGACCAGAAGATGAATCAACCTTATACTTTTTACCTTCAGATTTCTGTGAAGACAGAATCTTTCGGAAGTACTCGCAGCGAGAAGCTAGAATGTATTTGTGAGCAGGAATTTCATGACCCTGTACCTGGAAAGCAGAAATGCATGCAGTACATTAATGTTGTGTTAACTGTGTCACTCATCATCATCTAAATCAGAGAATGTCCGACGTCGTCCGCGTCAACTTTTTACTTTTTCAACTTCTTCTTGAAAACTACAAGCCTTGGGTAGACCTCACTAAGATTTGTTCATTTCATGATGATATCTTTAATTCTCTAATTTTGGTGAATATTTTTGTCATTTTTGGTAAAAAGTGATATTTTTGACTTCTTGTTGAAAACCGCAAGGATGAGTTCTTTGATATTATATATATATGCACTACAGGTTGAACTCTCTCAGATTTGTTCATTTCATGATAATATCTTTAAATCACTCATATGATAAGCTCCGCTCCACAAAGTCGACAGCGGAGCTAATAAATGTGAGCACATTTTGAATCAGGTATATTTAACCTTTTGAAGGTCAACTTCTTGCGTCTCCTTTCACAAATTAAACCCACATGATCTGTAGATGTAGCCAATGTGAAGTTAAGTCCATTTGATCCATATTTAATAACTAAGTCATCGAAAAATACAAATAAAGGTATAAAATGTTGCAGACAAATTCAAAAAAACAATTGTCACTTTTACATATTGGATATATCATCTTACAAGGACGAACAAATTTAATTAAAAATTTGGGGTTAGTTTAGAGAAAATTTATCCATAAAATACAGTGAAAAGGCATGTTTTGTCTGTTTTAGGGCATTTTACCAAAATGACTTATAAGGTACATCTGGATGTTTATAAGTATTACAAAAAATTACAATAATTTTAGTGGGTTTTTAATGAGAAAATTGTGGTCTATGGAAACCATTGTTAAAATGACATTTTATGCATATTATTTTACCATTTTTCTCACAAAAATAGATTATCAGTGAACCAAGAAAAGTTGACATAGTGGTGACTACTAAAACCAGTAATTGTAGACACATTTTGACACTTAAATATTGCAAATACTATATGCACTAAAATCACTAAAACAGACAAAATAAAGTTACTCACTTTAAGGATAACATCATGAATATTATCAAGACTGTTGGTTTCTTCAAGAAATGTTTTCAGTTGTTTACCAATACCAGAGTCACTAACACTAGGCACATCAACCAAACTGTCAAATGAAAACAAATGAAGCAATAATGAGTGCTTAAATCTTAATAAATTTGACTAAATGTGACATTTGTCCAAGTGAAATGCTGCATAAGACAATACTAACAACAGGTTTTTCCATAAAATGTTAATAAAAACCTGAAAATTATCTATAACAAAAGATGGAACAGCATTTCCACAGTTGGCACCAAACAAAAAATGGTCATGTTGCACATGCAAGACAAGTGCTCATTTATCATACAAGAAATGGTCTTGTAACAGTTGCAGCAAAGTTTCTGAGATCTAATGTAGACTAAATTAAATCTTCTAACAATCCTTATGAATTAATTAATTGAATCATACTCTTGCGTGGTACATTCAAATAAAAACAAATTTTAAAAGCTTTATACATCTTTTTACCTGGTTTTGGGATCCGACTGTAAAACAGCAAAATTCTGCCCGGAAGGATCAGATGTGATTCTGACAGCTCTGTTAACAAGTGCCAACCTCTGCAGAGAGATTTCCTCTATCTCCTCCTTCTCCAATAACTCTACCTCAGCTGACAAAGTGAATGCTTCTACCGATGGACTCCTTGCAAGTAAACTTGAAGCAGGTGATGTCTTGGTTTTCTTCTTACTGAAGCATGCCATGAATGCCTCACCATGTGGTGTTATAAATGCCATGTGTTGTTTACTGATGGCCATGTCTGACATGAAGATCTGACGACTGTAGTTCCAACAGCATCTTTTCAAAACACTTTTATCAGAACGTTTCCAGCAAAAAACCTAAAAGTATGTATGGTAAACAAGCTACAATGAGTTTGCAGAAAGTGTTTATTGGGCAGTGTTTTTTTATTTTGATAGACACCACTAAGTGATAAGTCATAACACTTTTCTGGGAACATGTCACATACATATATCCATAATATGATTCACGACTGAGCAGATCTGTCTTATTTTATATGAATCTGAATTTCCATGCTGTCCGCTATTTGTGAGTTTATTTTCAGAGCTATTTATTCTGTCGCAAAAAGAATCCACACATTTAGATTATGCTAAAATAGAACAAACTGAAAGTACAAACAAATAGATACAAATAGAACACAGTAATGTATTTTGTTACAGTTGTACATGCAACAGCCAAATCAATTTGCTTTTATCTATCTATCTATTTATTTATTTATTTATTTATTTATTTATTTATTTTATTTTATTTACTTATTGACTCTTACACAATCCCCGGAGGGAAAGGAATTGGTCACAAGGTTCAAAAAAAAAACACAGAAAACAATATGGTAGATAAAATACAATCACTAAATTATACAAAATCACTAAAATACGAAATAATATGAGATTACTAAAATAATAAAAAATAGGTAAAATTTGTTATAACACAGAAAAAGAAGTGAAGGGGGGTTTAAAATTTGGAGGAATGAAGAAAACATATACCTTACCTTTCCAGAAGCAGTTAATACTAACACAGTAAGTTCATCTCCTTTCTCCCTTTGTAATAAATCTTTATCTACATCATTATCTAAGTTTCCACCATGTGCAACCAACTTTATAACATTGATTTGCCTGCAAAACAAACACAATAAATAGACATCAGAGGGATGTTTCAAAGAACTTTAATTTGTTTTCACGTCTAGCCACAAAAGTATATGTACACTAGAAAAGTTAGTTACATTTTTTAACCAAGTTCGAACAATATTTTTCTAGATTCAAATGTCACATGTCAAGATATGAAATCGAGAAAAGTTTGTGTTTCTGCCTGGCTATTTTTCAAGTTAGTCTGAGCCTGCTTTTATTTATTTCAATTTCGTCATCGGCTCATTGTCAATGTTTTCAACCAGTTATTTTGCAAGTCAACTTGCAAGTCTGTCAATAATTTGTAGTCTATGTTTTTGACCGACTATTTTCCCAAGTCATGGAGGTCAATCATGGCAATATTTATTTCAATGTTCGCACTCTATTGTATTAGCGTGTCCATGCTTCATGGTTAATGCATCAGTACTCTATTACTTTCTCACCCACCCTCTGTCCTTTTCTAAAAGTGTGCTCCACACTTTATATCCTCCCCCAGTCTTTTTCACACTTCTTTCATACCGGTACCTCAAATATGAAGTGGAGAGAAATGACAGTGCATACTTACTTAGTGGCTATCTTCCTGCATTGATACCCATGTAGTATATAGATGTCTCCTTTGACAGTAGAACACACAGTGACAGCGGCACTAGCAGCTACATGTGATATCACAGTCTCCTTGTGATCAAGGGAGGAAACTTTCTTAGGATATTGGATATATTGCTCTCCTTTAGGGAAACCTGCAATAAAATTAAAAGATGTGGATTATAAAACTTTTAAAGCAATTCTGGTGTGATAATTCAATGACATTTTTCCAAAGCCATTTCCCAGGAATGAATTGCTGCAGACTTGGCTTTCCCATACTAACTTTGTAATGAAAACCCAGCAGTTTTATCTTGATTTATAAAGGATTTAAAGGCACATACTGATTTTCAAGTCGGATACTTCCAGAATAAACAAGTTTCCATTGCCGTTTTTTTTCGCTGAATCACTAACTGTAGGTCAACTACGTTTACCGGGCATGATGAACATGGCGCAGTCTGCTGTGAGCCTCGCTTTCACATTAGCTCAAGACTCCCTAGGTCAAGTGATTTCAATAACAAAGATGAGTAGCTGACATTCGGGTCTTTGTTTACGGGTGGGCCACCGGAAAAAAATAATTTCTCGCTATCCGCACATTTTCACAAGCCCTATATATATCACAAGCCTATATATCGTGAGTTCTAACAACATTACGAAAGCTAAATGCCACTTTAATGAGACAAACTGAATCAATACTCAGATAAAGTAGCCTGATTTATCATAGTATGTATACATGCACCTACTACAGGCTTGGTAGAATTCAATACACAGAATTCATTAGAATATTTTAGAACTGGGCAGGCAATGCAGAAATATCTTAAAAGGAGATGCCATTTTCGAGTGCAGGTGTTTCTACATTGCATGTTTATCCCACTTTACGTTCAGCTTGAATTTCAAAATCTTGTAGATGCAGTGTGGCACCAACAATGTCTGCATACCGGTGAAAAGTTCCATCATCAACATATTTGGAATTCAACAATTAATGCAAAATGCACCTTGTATTGTTAAAAGTGATAGCAAAAATTCAAGCCATAATATAACTGTATAAGTTACTGTATGTCTGCCATTATGTTTAGCTAATAAAATAGGGCTTCAAATGCATTTTCATTGTTTGTTGCTTGATGTTTTTGCTTGATGCAAATGCTTTCTCTGTCACCCTTTCTCCATGATTATGTAAAGAATTAAAACAAAGTGAACACATTCTGAAGTCGAACACATTTGTAAAATTTTTAAATTAATAGATAAAACTCACCTAATTGTCCTGCATTGAGTCCAAATGTGAAGACAGTATCAGAACAATATAACACAGTATGAAACCTACATGCCTCTATGCCGGTAATAACTTTGCCTTTCAATAACTTGGTCAGTATCGGTTTTGGTGTAGTGTACTTTGATCCCAGTTGTGGCTGTCCCAGCTGGTGGCAGGAATTCAAACCACATGTGTAGACCACACCCCTGAAAAATGACATCGAAAAAAAAGACATAACAAGCAGCCTATTGGCTGAGATAGCTCCGCTGTTAGCAATGCACATTTCAATTAAAGAACTGAAGACATCATTAGAAAATGTACAATATGTATAGTATCAAAGCAATCGGACTTACAGTTTTTAAAAAGAAGTCGAAAATATCACTTTTTACCAAAAATGACAAAAATATTCACCAAAATTAGAGAATTGAAGATATCATCACAAAATGAACAAATCTGAGAAAGGTCTACATGTAGTATCTATATATGTAATATCAAAGCAATTGAACTATTGGTTTTTAACAAGAAGTCGAAAATATCACTTTTTACCAAAAATTACAAAAATATTCACCAAAATTAGAGAATTGAAGATATCATTACAAAATGAACAAATCTGAGAGAGGTCCACATGTAGTACCTATATATGTAGTATCAAAGCAATTGCACTTGCGGTTTTTAACAAGAAGTCAAAAATATCACTTTTTACCAAAAATGACAAAAATATTCACCAAAATTAGAGAATTGAAGATATCAACATGAAATGAACAAACCTAAGAGAGGTCTACCCAAGGTACATATACACCAAGTATCAAAGCATTCAGGCTTGTAGTTTTCAAGAAGAAGTCGAAAAAGTAAAACATTGACACGGACGACGGACGACGACGACGGACAATCACTCATATGATAAGCTCCGCTCGACAAAGTCGACAGCGGAGCTAAAAAGGATATTGCAAGAAAAGACAAACAAAAATACTTGGTGTTTACTAACCCTTCAGCCAGCATAACAGTGTGGTCTCTGGCAGCAGCAATTTGTGTACACTTGATATCAGCCATGGTGTCAAGACTTCTAGGAGTTAGGTATGTTTGCTCATTGCCGTGTCCTAGTCGGCCACCCTGACCATGTCCACATGTATAGACTTGACCATTATGAGATAGGAACACAGAGTGGTACTTACATACCACGACCTGAATGAGAATATAATATCATGTTATCTTGAGAATACTACCAAGAAGGAACAAGGTAGTCTGGCAATCATATTAGTCAATATCTAGTGCATACTTCTTGTGATAATTTTGTGATAGCCCAAAATAGTTTACTAGTATAAGATCAAGCCTGTGCAACATTTTTGTTCAGATAAAGAAATTTTGGCTGCCTTTGTCGTAACAATTCGGAAAAAATTGCTGAAAAATCAGGATTAAATTCTATTTTAGTACAACGCATTGTTAAATTAATATTTTAATACATTGTTATCATTTCTGTGGGTTAAATACTAGGTTACGTAGGGCGATCGTAAGTCTGTGTCTGCTGATGTCCAACATGGTGACGAAGATTTGTATCCCAAAAATGCATCTCTGTTTATTTTGTACATTGAATTATAATCTATGAGTCTTTTATGAGGAAACTATGATAGTTTAAACAATGTTAGTTTCATTTTATCAAAGTGTTAGACATTTTACTCCAAGATAGCAATGTCGGCTATTTTTTTTTTTTTCATGACCGCTGTAAATGACACAGGAAGTTGTATGGTTTCATAGTCCAGTTTTAATCTGAATATATTTTTTTTTTATTTCAGTGTTCTTTTTTTCCTGCTAAATCCTGACCATGCTGTATAAAGCGGGAAATTTTGTTACCAAAAAAAAAAAACCCCAATCGAAGGAATCGTCTTTGAAAAAATATGAAATTTTATGAAAATTGCGATCATTGCAACGTCAGCAATATGCTAATTCCCTTTGTTTTAAATGTTAAATGAGACACACACCCTAACAAAAGAAGTGAGAGAGTTTCCTAACCGTTCTTCTGGTAACTGTGCTCTGTAGCACTCATTAAAATGAACTACATCACCAACAATGACACTATCATTTGTTCAGATTACATGCCATCACTCATGCAAACATTCATTTGTCATTATTTTGACATATATTCTCTCAATAAATTATGTCTAAAAGCAGGGAAAAATGGTTATATCGTAACAAAAAGGTTATCACAAGCATGATTTTTCACTTCTTAGCAATATAGTTATTGTATTGTATTGTACAAGTACTAGTATATTGTGATTCTTTCTGTGTTTGTAATGTTATTTAGCTTTATTTAGCATTCTGTTTAGTTTGTTAAATTTACTGTATTTTAGTTTATTTTATTTTAATTTTATACGACCATAGAACAACTCACTGCAGTTTGTTTTAGTGTTGAATAAATATTATACCGGGAAGTATGAACTCAGGCAGTATGGTTGCATCGAAATCATCACTATATACCGCCTTTATGTATACTTTGCGGTATTGTCATGATAATCTCATATTATTAATCCTTGCTAATCCTTTATGCAAATCTGCCTATCTACCAGAGATCAAACTTTGAACGAATGCACATACCTGTTTGATACTTATACTTTTCTTTGCAAATTCTTCTACCAGATCAGGATGTTTGCGACTTTGCTGGTTACTATGCCCCAAAGTAAAATTAGCATTTGTCCCCCAGGTGTACACATCAGTTGGACCAGTGGGTTGAAACTCCACATATGCTGGCCTGTCTAGCCTAATAATATCTAGTGGTGTCAGTGCTTCTTTGTCTTGGCTTGTCAGACTAGCACCATGCTGTAATGTCAAAATCCATAAGTCTATGAGAACTGGAGACTTCAACAAACATTACTGCCAATTCATAACTGTTCGCACTACAGTGACTTTTGATTTTGAGTGATTCTTATCACTCAATATTGGGTTACATAGTAATGTTTGACAATTTTGAAACACAAAAATAAAATCTTTCAAAAATGTTAAAATTATTTTTGTTCAAGGCACCAGTTCAAGGCATTAAATGTCATTGTTGTTTCTCAAGAATTTCTTTGTGTGTGAGTAATTTGCAAATGCAAAAGATGACACTTTTTCACAGAAACTATATTTCATGTGACAGGACTGTGTGACCATCTTCCGATCAAAATGACAATTTAATGAACTATCTTAGCATCAACCAAGGATCCTCCAAAGTTGCATCCCTTAGTAAGTGAATCTTGGCCAGTAGATTTTGCTTTCCTTTTGAGTCTATGGCACACTCATCCAGGGTCAATCCTTTTTGGCATTTAAACGGAGATCACTTTTACACATAATGTGGTTTCAGTTGCATGTGCAATAAAATATTTTAATAGTCACATGAGAAAACTACCGGTATTACCAAAATGTAAATTACTTACACAGTAATAATAAATTTGAAGCAGGATTGAAATAGGGACTGAGCTAAGACCCTAGTAAAGTTATATATGGAATTTCATATTTAGTAAATTATTATTGACATTAATAATATTTTAAATTTAAATACAGATAAATGATAAAATCTCAACATTTGGTAAAAAACCATGGACAGAAATACATGTAGCCTCCAAAATCTAGTTTCCGCATTTCAAATAGTGTGCTCTCTCCTCATCACGTCAGCTGATCTTATGACCTACGTAACCATGGTATTTGGAACAGCAGATGTGATGGTAGAAGAAAAGGAACACAAATTTTGAGGCTGTCTTGTTCACAATGACATCTCAGCAGTGATTTGAATCTAAGGTCAATTATAGAGTTTAAGATGAATATATTCTGAAGAAATACTGTAAAACATGTCTTTTTCGCGAGCATGTCTTTTTAACGAATTTAACAAGAGAACTAATTCGCTAATTTAGGATGTCGCTAATGACTTCATTATAAATTCAAAATGGTGGCCAAACAACGTATTTTACTCTACACACACAGTTTGTAAACAACTCAGAAAACGTAATAATCTTGAGCGCTTCCTTATTACACTTGATAGTTTTGTTTTGGCAGGCAACAGACAAGTATTGCGAAAACAGGAAATAAACAAAGACAAGAGAGAGAGATTCGTTAAATCAACATTTCGCTATTACGTCATTTTACCACAATTCGCTAAAATAGTATGTCGCTTTTTCAACTTATTCTACATTGTACACTGATGTTAATATACTTACATGTATAAGATGCAGTGCACTGGTTATTTGACCATAGAAAATACTTCGATGTAAGGCAGTCCAGCCAGACTCAATATCTTTCACTTGGTGGTTGATTTTCTTCTCCGTCAACAGCCAATCCACTACTTCCCATTTGCGACATGATGCAGCCATGTGCAGTACATTTCTACCAAATTCATCGGTGATGGTACAGCTGTTGTAACAGTGGTTGAAATATGCCTGGATTTGAGACAGGTTGCCCCTAGTGACCAGGGTCAGTAAGTCTGATGCGTGTTGTTTGGATCGACATTTCGATGTACAGTCACAGTCTAATAGATGTGTATCCATGGTCCTGGAAAAACAGCACAAGACATGTCAAAAAATGTGAAATACTGTGAAATACTTTATTTTAGCTGGAATTAATTCTCGCTGAAAAGGCTTTTTGAGTGTTTTGTATGGAATTTATTTTCACTGATTTTTGCCGAATTGAAAGTAAAATATAGAAATATAGTATATTCGCGAGATTTTATTTTCACTGAATCATTACTTCAGCGAAAATTAATTCCAAGCAAAAATAAAGTATTTTACAGTATTCAGTTGAGATAAACAAACTTAAAACCTTTATACGGATCGATAAGGTACCCAAGTTTAAAGATGAGTGTAAAATAACTTTTCAGGTTACACAATGAAAACAATGTTAATATTCATTATCATTGTGTCTATAAAAAATAATTGTTTCTGGTCAACATAGCACCATGTATTTAATGTCTCAGGCCAGAAGCAAATCTCACTATTTTTAGCTTTACAAGCAAAGTAAACACATGCATTTAGTAAAATAATTACTTGGGAAAGAAAAACTTGAAACGCTTTTCGAACTGGACCGAAAAAAAACACAGAACAAACATAAAATTACATCATGTTAATCTTTAAAATCCTGTAAGTTAGCCAGATTATTAGTATCAATTCTAATAATAGCACAACAAGGAACAATATACTTACAGAAGTTGTTAACTCAATATTTCTGTAGTGTTCAAATTCAGGTTCACATTCAGCAGTGCTGAACACCAACACACATGGATAAAATCCACAGCTTTCTTATATATAAAAATAATTACTCAATTATATTGAGTATCTTGTTTTCAATGGCAAGAAAAAATAATTCAGTGAAAAAAAAAAATAATGTTGTAATACTGATAAGTCAATGTTTCTTGGCAAGTATATATTCACTGGCTCAAATGCAAAAATAAAGCTATCATTAAGTTTTTTGGTTCCACACAATTCCAAGCAGATTTATCCTTTTCAGTTTTCCAGTTCTAGAGTTGTTCCACTTCTTCTATATTGTGCAGAATGTACGGATAATCACAGCAGGAGCTAGTCAACACCAGACTCCATACTGGATCCCCTATAGAGCTGTAGTGGCCATAATTGTCTTAAAACTCCTGAAAATAGAAGAACATTACAAGCATCATAGTGATGAACAAACCTTTTTTTACATGTTATGACTAAGCAACAATTTAACCCAGGGAATTGAAAGCAAAATATCAGATTTTGAAATTTTAAGAAGTCATGAAGGTGCCTTGGAAACCCAAACTGACTTGATAGGGTAAAGATATTTTGATAATTTAAATTTGTCTACAGAAATTTGGGAACATTTGACTATTTCAGAATACTGTGGAATACTTTATTTTCGATGAAAAGGCTTTTTGGGCATTTTGTATGGAATTTATTTTCACTGATTTTTGATGAGTTTAATGAGAAATATAGGAAAAAAGTATATTCGCTGGATTTTATTTTCAAGGAATCATCCCTTCAGCGAAAATAAAGTATTCTACAGTATTTAAGTTAAAGCCCTGAAAATATACCCGGTAATATACGGTAATATATTAAAGACGTCAATTTGTTGTAACTAATAAAGTATTATTACTGATAAAAAACATATTTGCTCTATTAGCAGTGCATCTCCAAAATAAGCGCAGTGAAACTGCATTATCCACTACTGCTTAGTGTAAAAGTTCAAGCTATTAATTACTGGTTGCATATAAAGGAACTCCCAGTTGATAATCTAACAAAACAGGCATACCTAGAACAGACACAACACAATACTATACAATACAAATGGCTATATGCAATACATACAATATTGAAAGACAATTCACTAAACTAAAATATAAAAAAAATTAAAGAAAGCTTAGAAAGAACTCCCATGTGCTGAGAGTATTGGAGACACATTAAATATAATTTGAAATTACTTAGCTGAAAACTAATTATGCAAATCAGAAAATTAATATGAACAGATTTGTGTAAAACTAATGAGGTCTGCGCAATGTAACAACAAATCTATGTACCAAGTTTAATTGAAATGTGATTAGAACCAAAAAATTATGAATTATTATGCTAATTAGGGAATTAATATGAACAGATTTTTACCCCAAACTAATTAGGTTTGTACATTGTCCTAGAGCATTTTTGTACTAAGTTTCATTGAAATGGAATAATTAGTACTTTAGATATCAGTGTGAAAGCTTAAAATTTGGTTAATTATGCAAATTAGGTAATTAATATGTACAGATTTTAACCCACAATTATCCAGGTCTGTCTATTGTCCTACAGCATCCATGTACAAACATTCATTGATATGTGATGATTAGTACCTGAGATATCAGTGTAAAAGTTGGAAATTGGTTAATTATGCAAATTAGTTGATTAATATGCACAAATATTTATCGAAAACTA